TCACCAGCCTCTGCTTGCACAGATCTTCCATCCTCATCTTCTTCAAGGTAGGAGGGCTATGAGCTCCCTTCCAGACATCAGGAACCGTGCCCAGCTGCTACGACCTGTCCAAGGTAATGGAGAGGGGCCTCCCAAGGACATCGGCCAGCTCCCTCGGCATTCCTGGGTGCAACCCGTCACGCCCCGTGGGCTTACGTACACAGCCCTCCTTCCTACCTCCCTTCCCCTTCCTCAGCAACAAGCACTGCTCGACGGACAAACAGCCTGCAAAACACTCCCCTCCGCTCAACTGGGGCAGGCCTTGCCAGTCATCAACCCTTCGGCACGCATCCACCGCCACCAGGGCCTCGGCTCTGCAGCCGCCTGCTGCATGCTCGCCTCCAACTCACCCTGGCGATCTCCAAACTCTCTTTCTGCCCATCACACGCCCTGCAGAGAAATGGCCTCACCCCTCGGCACTCACCCCAACTACAGACCCCAAAGGCCCTGGCTCACCTCCGCCCCTGCCTGCCGCTCCCACTGCCCCTCAGCCTCTCGCCACACTCACGGGCTGCTCTGAAACTCACCTGCCCTTGCAACGTGCCCCACATCTGTGTCACGCCAGAGCCCAGGCTGCAAACTTGCCGGCCCCAACGAAGGGCAGCGCTACGGAGGGGCCAACACAAGCCTTTGGCGAGCCTGGCAGGGCTCCCCACGGCACAGGGCTTGCGAGCTCTGAACCAGGGCTGCCGGGACAACGGCCTGCTCCTGCAAACAGCCCTCCTCTGACCCCTTGCACTGCCAGCCCCAGCCCCAGGGACGGCACCAAGGGGCCACGAGCCCACACAGGCAGCCTCCCTTCTCCCAGCTACAACCCCACCAGCAAGAGGGGCACCGAGACTCCCACAGAGCACACCCAAGGGGAAAGGCCAGGCCTAAAGACAGCCTTAGCGAGCTGGGAGCAAGGCAGAGAGGGACCGAACGCGATGGAAGGGGCAGCGTCTCACGCCTGGCACACCTCCAAAGACCAGACCAGCCTGCCAGGGCTCTGAGGAAACGAGGCCCACTCTTCACAACCCACCCAAAAACCACACCACACGACTGCCACGGGATGACCTCACTGATGACACCCCACCTCTCCTACGTTTTCCCAATGTCTGCAGAGTGCGATGGCACGTGCCATCAACCCCAAGCCTTTGAATTCTAATAGCCACACTTAAAAGCTGCCGCCAGGGTCAGACGGACACATCCTCAAGAGGAGGACGTGAAATTGGAGAATTGCGGCAAGGGAGACACACCCCACCCCATTATTCGTGAGGCTGTGGAATGAAAGAGCTAGTTGCTGCAAAATGACATCATGCACAAAGGCTGCCCCACCCCCTCGGGCGCTCAGCGACCAGCATAAAAGCAGCCCAGCACCTCTCTCCCTCACGCACTTCTCTCAACGCCTTCTCCTCCACCGTCAACAAGGTGAGCCTCAACCCCCTTCCCCTCCTTCTCCTGCCCCACCTGCACCATCTCTTCCACCACGCTCTGCCCCCAGCCTCAGCAGCCCTGACCGCCACACTCCCCCCAGACCCACACCGGGCCTCCCCACTCCCTCGCCCTCCTGCAACACCGCCCCTCGCGTCCCCACGCCCCTCCGCTTCCTCAACACCCTCTCTTCCAGGGCCCCTCCACACCACAGACATGGCCTGCTACGACCTCTGCCGCCCCTGCGGACCCACCCCGCTGGCTAACAGCTGCAACGAGCCCTGTGTCAGGCAGTGCGAGGACTCCCGCGTCGTCATCCAGCCTTCTACCGTGGTGGTCACCCTGCCAGGACCCATCCTCAGCTCCTTCCCCCAGAACACCGCCGTCGGATCCTCCTCATCGGCTGCCGTGGGGCACGGCCTCCGCTCCCAGGGAGTGCCCGTCTCCTCCGGCGGCTTCGGCTTCGGAGGCCTGGGCTGCTTCGGCGGCAGAAGAGGCTGCTACCCCTGCTAAGGGCCCCTGACGCCAACCGCCCACACCCTGGAAGCCACGGCATGGATCGAGGATGCACCTC